CCTACGTTGTTTAACAATCACAAATTACAACACGTTGAACGAATACAAAAGTAACTAAAATTCATCTAGACCGTAATAATTGAACCTAGTAGAAATCTAGTAGACATTTGGCAACTTTCGTGTTTGCCGAAAATTTTCAAAGCACGTTTTTCATATTTTCTATTTCTATTTTTAGATTTTTTCATCCACCTTGGGAAAATATATTTTAATTTAATAATTTCCGCTTGGTATTTTTAACAAATCAGATTTTCAACAAGAAATGAAAGAAAGGAAGAATTTTACGTATATTTTTCAAATATACATTTTACATATGACTTTCTATAGTATATTACACTTGTTTAAATATAATCACAGGGATAGGTTATTACAGTACAGTCTATGAGTGATTATAACGTTTCGAGCTTATATCTTCTCCTTCTTCAGTGCTGTCATCTGTAGCTTCGTTTTTTCGAGCCATCACATTCTCAGATGTTGAGTTAATCCTTTTCACAGAATCACACCTACCGGTGCGGTGCTAATGCTATGTATAAAATTTCTTTACGTGGAATTGTATTGTCTTTCAAATATTTTTTGTGATGTGTGGATAAAGTAAAAAAATAAAAGTAACTATTTTCCAGATACGCCTTGCTGTGGCTTCCATCCATATTTTTATGTTCGGATCTCCAGGAAAACTGCATAAATGGTAATAATATATCTTATCTTATTAAAAAAAAATTACCAAAAGTAGTAAATGATACAGTATTGCTAGGCCAGCAGGCAAGAGCGAAATTGGAAGAAAAAGTATGAAATTACATATTTTGAAATATATTTTTTTACTTTTCACACAAAATGGGTGTACCCAACCCCAATGTTTGGTAATTAGACGAAAAGTGAACATACAGTATGTAGAAATGATACGTAACCATAGAATTTAATATTTATTGAAAATAAATTTTCAATGATATAGAGGAAGGTATTAATTATAAGATTCTATAGAGGGAACAAAATTTAGATGTTTTTTGGACACGTAATTATCGCACAATTCGGTATTTTTGAAATAAATTTCACCCAGCAATGCTCGACACAACAATTGGATAACGACTGTGTCGTCAAGAGAGATGTCATTTATAGGTGTGATTTGACATGTAAGTGGCTACACAGGCACTGCCCACTCCCCCGTTCTATCGTGTATATATTATAATATTCTATGATGACTACAAAGTACAAAGAACTTACGGTCGCAGAGCATCAGATGTGGTTTGAATGTTTGATGGATAGTAGGTATCGCTTTGAAAATGTGTTATAATGCGTTTTATACGTAAAATAAATGTGCACACCAAAACTCCTACCTAACAACGCATACGTTGCGTATGTGGGCTCAGTTTGTTCTTACCTTAACGCTCAGGTCTCACAAGGTGACACACGAATCATGTCGCATGCGGCAACGACAATGTTTAGTCTCAAATATGAGCCTGAACAAGTGTCCTCTCTCGTGTCGATTAAGGTTTTGGCTATAATTCATAACAGATATTTGTATATACCAAATGTTTTGTTGATAAATAAATTATTAATATCCTAATCTGCTCCAGGTTTCCAAAAGAGGAAGAAATAAAAAATATAGTTTGATATTATGTCTGAAAACATTACACAACATTCAGTAGTTTGTAACCTACATTTCTAATCCGAAGACGTCACCATCCATCATGCAGCAGCAAGAAAACTATTAAAAGTAAATGCTATTCCATCTATTTTTCTCGTGACATATTCACCTTTAATATACACAGTATAATGAACAATTTTGAGAACCACATTCTAATAAAATCTAAAGGATTGTGCTGCACCTCCCCGCAATTTGAGGTGCTAATACGACCTAATGTATTATTTTAGGGAACGGTTCCTTGTGTAATTTGAACATTTTTTTATAGGGGGCAAACGAGCATGCGGCTCACCTGATCTTAAGTGACTACCGCCGCCTATGATCAACAGCAACCAGGGGAATTGCAGGTGCGTTGCCGGCCCTTTAGAAAGAAGTAAGCTCTTTTCTTGAAGGTCTCAGGAATTTGAACATGACAACCAGTTTTTTTTTTCCTTTTTTTCTTTTGTCGTAAATTTTTGCTTGGGGATTTTTTCTTCCCTCCTTATAGGCTTGTTTGTGCTGTTTAGTATATTTAAAAATGTAGCATTGTGTGAGTGAGACATACAGCCACATCAACATAACATCCAGCAGCAACAAAGTCCAGAAACACAGACGTCTCAACATTCAACACGCCAAGAAAAAAGAAACAACGCCGGCAAATCAAAACCTTATCTCAAAGGTTAAAAAAAGTAATAAAACAATCAATAGTCTAGAATCATCGTTGACTATTTAACAAAAATGTGATAATTATGACGAGATACAAAATATGGTTAAACTGAATTTTGAAAATATTCACACACAATTAAACAAAAGTTTAATTAAAAACTTATATATTATCATTGACGCAGATGAAGACAGACACATAGACGAACTTATGGATCAAGCAGATTAAAATACTGTATCTCATTTTCAAAACAATATCCTCTTTTATATATCTGGCTATATTGTCAATAAAATACTGGACAAAATAACTTGTCACCATACCGAGCTGCATTGTTGGTAAAAAAAAACGGCATGAAGACCATTCGTACAGATTGGATATTTGTGAATTTTCGTTATTTACTGCTTTTGTTGACAAAAGAGGCCTAAAATACGCCTCAAAATTTGTATTCAATGTAGTGAGGCACTCTGAAATACTATGCAACTCCGTGTTGCATGAAATTTGGCAAGATCAATTTAAAAAAAAACTTAATTCTCAACACAATTCATCATTTCTATCCGAAATTAAATGATATATTCATTCTACCTCATCCGGTTCTTTCTATAAAGTGTGAAAATAGGCATAAGACAGAAATTATTAAATGTATAGGGATAATTTTTTTAATTTAAGATTAAGGGCTTATAGAAAATGCGAAACATTAAAATTGATTGTACACAAAGCCACCATGCGTCAAAAGCTACATAGGACAATTTTGTTTAGCAATGTATAAGCATCGCTTATCTGTATTACACATACTATAGAATTAATATAGTTATGGTAATAAACTGACTTAACTATCTTTTATTTATCTTTCTTTACTGTCTTTTATTTATCTCTCATATTAAGTTGGATATCTTGATAAATGATATATGTATTATTGTAATCCTTGTTTATTGTTCTCAATAAAATAAATACAGTAGAATCTGTTACATAGCATTATAGAAGAATCTGTTACATAGCATTAGAGAAGAATCTGTTAGTTGCATCACTTTGTCCTTTTTTCCTTGAAGCAACAAATCGTGTAGTCACCCTAATAGAGTAGGACGCATCCCTAAAAAGCGCTATCTCACTCAGCTCGTTTGTCAGTCGTGAGTGCGCAATCTTGTTAAAATAAAATGTCTTTGGTTTTGGTTATAAACTTAGAGTAATTACATACATACGTATGCATAGAGAGAACCTACAATTCTACATAAATTGAGTTGGTATACTTGTCTCGCTTTTTCTAATTTAGTTTTCCTATAAAGCAAAAAGAGATAAATCTATTGAAAGATGTTGCGTGTAATTTACGCGTGGCAATAGAAATGTCAAGTAGTCATCTTTGATCTTTTTATAATATGCCAAATATGGGAGTAAGTTTACTCGTATGCTCTGATTTAATAAAAAATGACATCCTTAATTGTGGCAGTATTACGTATGACTATGGATGACGTTACGTCGGCTTGACCGGGGTAGTAACACGCCTTCACAGGATACCAGCGTAAAATGGCAACTTGAGGCTGCTGTGTTTTTAATGTTGAGTATAGAGAACCGGTGACCCTTTTTTATTGAAAACGAGGCATTCTATTATGTTAGTCTCAGGGGTGGCAACGCATCTGCATTTTGATTCTTAATCGATGATAAATGTAGATGTCTATGGGCTCCAGCGTCCACTTACCATCAGGTATTCTGTGTGCTCGTTTGGTACCCTTGTTTTATAAAAAATAAACTATCGTAGCAGTGCCCTCAGTGAACGTTCCGTGACGCAAACCCAATCTCGATTAAAGAAACACAGTTATTATTCCTTGTGGAACCCACACTCAGTATAAGGATACTTTGGCGGAAATATACTGACTGAATTGAAGTAGATTTCATAGTGAACTTTTCACGCCCTGTATTTTAAATTGTACAACGATAGTACGATATTCTGCATTATTCTACTACGTTTTGTTGTAAGATGTAAGATGAAGTTTCCATAGACTTTCGTTGATACAAATAAGTATTACGAACCGGATTAATAAAAATCCTTAATTTTACTAAGTCATAGACTAAATGAATTTATCGACAACATTATTTGTTTCGATTGGTTGCCAATTGCCTTTTTTTAATTCCATAGACTTCTCTATTATTGATGTGCCGGATTCGAAACCATAGACTACATCGAAACCGTAGACAGAGATACTCTGTCTACGGGCAACCACCTTGTAAAAGGCAGAAGGTGAGAATAATATAGCTATCTTATTTGTACTTTATTAAACGTCATATGTAAAAAGAGTTTAGCTATAAGAATTTTAGGATTCTCTCTATGCTACTAATTACTCCGAGGTTATAAAAATATACTCTATTAAAAAAGTTAGAGTATTTTTGAATTTCTTTATTTTAAATTACTTTTTATAAGTACATACTATAAAAATATCCGAATTGAATTTATGACTCCATTCGAAAGTTAAAAGACACTATAAAATATTATTGTAAGTTTTAACGTTTAAGTAGTGAGATGCTTTACATAAACCCAAACCAAAACATTGACGCAATTATAAGTAAAATTTAAGCGAAATTTTAAAGCGTGAATTCTTTCTTACAATGACTATTTATAAAGTCCTGCGACTTTGTACGCATTTACAATTTCGTAACCAATTTGGGGTTATACGTAATAGTCAGAAGAACATTCTTAGAAATTTGCACGAAAGCCCAAAATTATATGTGAAAATGTTTATGGAACATGAAAACAAGTACGCTTACAGTATAATGCAAAATCAAGGATATGTAGTCAAAATTAATTTAGAAGATAGTAGAATGTTAACAGGAAAAGATTCTATACAAGATTTGCTATCTCAAGATTGGTCCAAAAAAATACCAAAAAATATTTTTGAAACTTTCCCTACCCTCGGAGCATTATGTGCTGAACAAAAACTATGCATATCTGATAAAATATTTGACGATTTTATTGACCACTTAACAGATAACCTCAAAGTGGCTAGTGAAGAAGAATTAAAGTCTATATTTTATTCATTACTGAAGTGGCCAGAAACAGAATCCATTAGAACTAGAAATTACATTGAAGTATGGGCAGCTCTAGACGATGAATGTATAAGAAGGAGTCAACAATGGTCCTACGATGAAATGCTTACTTATGTTACTCTGTTTTATATGCTCAATGTAACACGGGTTAGTGACTTCTCATACAAGTGTTTAATGAAGTTATCAGGAAAAGCAAAAAACTTAACACCTGCTCAACTTGTCACAACTATGTTTTTTATTGGAGTTCAACGAAAATCACCTAAGTATGTACATAATTTGGAGGTTTGCATTACTGAACACTTTGATAAATTTACAATTGACGAGCTTGCTATAATATCTATGGGATTTTTTAAAAGCAAAACTCCTATTAGGAATATGGAATTAGTTGCAAATTTAGCAAATAAAATTATAGACCATAGTTCAAGTATCCATGAAATTTCTCTTGCAGCTTTGTTAAAAATAATCCGCTACTCAATGAAAATAACAACAGATGATACAATATATAAGCTATTGGATACATTGCAGTATGAAGTACCAAGACTCTCAGTGATGTGCAATGTTCATATAGCATTGGTAGGAACATCCACACTAACTTTACACGAAGGTTGTTTAAATGCTATTGCTGACATGCTGAGTACATCAATGTCTGAAACTAGGATAAAAGATTTGGAAAGATTAGCGTTAACATTTGGTACATTTAATTTCAAACCTCAGTCTGGAGATTTTATTTCTAAAATGTTACATGAATTACGAAAACCAGAAAGAGAAAGTGAATTTAATTTACATGGTAGATCATTTGCCTGTTGCATAGCATACTTAGGTTTATTAGCAGTATATCCAAAAGACTTAATACATAAAGTACTACACCCAGCTTTTTTGGAAAAAACTTATGGAAAACATTGTATAGGCTATGGAAGAGAAATTTTAACATTACACAACACTGCTAAAATATTTTGCAAAGATTCTAAAATTAGTCAACTTACTGACAAAGAACTAATTATCATGGCTAAAAAGTACACAGATTATGTGCCTGATGAAAATTATGTTAAACAGTACAATGTGACTGAAAGGATGTTTTTGGATGTTTTAAACATATTAAGAGAAGCTCGTGGCAATGACTTTGTAAAGGGTGGTCATATTCTGACACATCATCAAAGGGGAGGTTAGTTTTATCTAATTTCAAGTTGCCAACAAGAGACAATTTGTTATAAAAAACACATTAAAAACATGACTTGATTTTTTTCAGATATTATATTGTGTAATGATCGAAAGGGATTTGCAATGCCAGTAGGAGATAAATTTGACAACAAATATTTTGGATTAACAAGATCCCCTCCAGATGATAATATTTGGATTGCATTAGTAATTGGAGGAAGAAATGCTTTTATCCGTAACACTAAAATACCAAGTGGTCAATTTAAAAGTAAAATCAGAGAACTTAACACCTTGGGCTTCTGTGCTGAACTGGTAACTAACTTACATTAATATTTATAACAATTTTTTTTTGTAAAAATTATAATTGATATGCTAAACTTTTCAGATATCATGGGATGTGTTAAGAAAATGTGAAACAAAAGAAGCCAAGTTGGAATATTTAAATAATCTAATTGAAGTAGCTATTAAAAATAAAAGAAGTTACTACTACTCCACCTAATTTCAATTTAAAAATAAGTCAAAGAATAAACAATTACAGATACATATCTTCTTAAGTAAATAGTCCTAAGGTAGATAAGGTTATAAAGTAGAAAGTTGTAAATTGTGCATATTTTCTTTAAAAATCCATTTCTTTTACACAGAAAAATACACAAAATCTTTACCTCCTTTTAAGTATCATAATCCACATCAAACCCAGTGACAGCTACCTTGGGGGTAGGCGGGGCAATGCCCCGGGGCCCCCAAGCTCAAGGGGCCCCGGGCTATAGGCTACATGAAAGACGTTCAAAATTATATAATAGTTATCTTAGTTGAATAAATAATTTTTCACTTTTAACTTTTTGGCCCCTGAACCAACAAACCTCGAACTGCCCAAACTGATATCACTAAAATTTCTTCCACCTCTCAGAACATAATCATCATTGTTAGAATAAAATTGTCTACTTTGTTTTAGTGTCTATGTACATATGTATATTACGAGCACTAACAGCTGTAATCCACTTCGTCATTGTTTATTTTTAGCAGCTTCCACCAACATTGAAAATAATCGCATGGGATTCTTTTACCGGAATGAAAGTATCCTATGTCCTACCCTGGTTGAGCTCTTATCAGTGTGCAAAATTTCATACAAATCCAAACAGCAGTTTTGACATGAAAGTGTAGCAGAAATTAAAACTCGCATTTATATAACGTCGGGGAAAGTTTCTTCGTATTTTATATAATTTAAATTCAAGACATTTTTTTTTTCAAAGTTTAATTAAATTTAATTATAATATATAATATGTGCCATTTTGTTTGATAACTTTTTTATAGCATTGGGTGACAAACGAGCACACGGCCCACTCGATGGTAATTGGATGCTGTGGCCCATGGACATCCACATTTATCCTCAATTAAGGATCAAAATACGAATGCGTTGTCACCCCTTAGGACTAAGTTGGAATGCCTCGATTCCAGTAGTAAGGGCCTCCGGGGTTGGCTTTAGTAATCTGCTGCACGATTCAGTGATTATTTTAGCTTTAGTTGACAGGCAATGATGCTATTGATTACCATCTAGCTGCTTTTTATGCCGGAAATCTTTATTTTTCGAGATATCGATAGTTAAAGTTTTGAAGTTATATCGGGTTGGCTAGACATCCGGTACTTGATTTTGATAATGTTTTTAGTCTAGTTGGCTTGTTAGGGTTAAGCTTAAACCTATTACACTGTTTTTAGATGTCAGAAATTCATTTTGAATTAATTACGATAAAAACAAATTTCACCAAAAATAGTGTAATAATTTGTCCTTTAAAATTTTGTTTTCAATTTAGGAGGATTGTCAGGGTTAAGCTCGAACCATTTACACTGTTTTTGGATTTCGGAAATGCCTTTTGAATTAATTACGATAAAAATAAATGTCGCTTTAAATTGCATATAACGAAACGCAAATATGTCAATTTGTTTTTTAACACAGATACACTCATAAAAAAGTAATCACTCGGACCCAGACAATCCATTTGTGGCTGGAGATGGGACTTATATACAACAAATTGAGTTACAGTGGAGAGCAGTCAAGAGGTGTTTCAGAAAACAAATTTTTTTTATTAATTAACATTACATTATTTCATTTGCATTTACCACTGTAGTAGCAGAGTTAAGAGCAACTAGACTTTATAGATAAAATTGGTCTAATTGGCTCTAAAACCGAATTAGCACACCCCGACTCCACGTAGTCTTGTCTGCCCTATCCCTAGAGTGTTTTTGTAAAGCCGTAGTCACGGAGGGAGAGCAGCCCCCGCCCGCTATAGCAAATCGCAGGCACCTAAGCGAGCTGTAGAGAGCTGCGGAGGCGAGCATGGGTGCCTGTGATTTGCTACGCAAGGGCGAAGGGGCAGCACTTCCCGCAGTGCCGAAGCCGTTGCAGAAGTAACTGCGTCAATATTCCTGTATTTATACACTTTTTAAAGTGAGGTTATGATTTTACCAAAAAAAGGGGGTTTCCGGCATTTCCCCCTTTTAGGGGGAGATTCCTACCCCAGCCCCCCCCCCACTCGGCGACCATATATTCATGCGGCAGATTACTAAAAAAATTCATAAAAAGGGGGTGGGGTTCCGGTACTTAACTCTTTTAGGGGGAGGTTCCTACCCCTCTCCCCTCTAGCCCGTACTATCTACCCGCCCACTCGGCGACCATAAATTCGTGCGGCCGGTTACTAAAGAAATACCGCCTCTGGTTCCTTATACTCACCATACGAAACACAGCAGCATTACGATGGTATTCTGTAAGAGCGCGATCCTGCCCCGGTCTATATATACTATAACATAGCACGTAATGTTAAAATGTAATGTGACAATCCCGTTGCTGTAGAAATTTTGATTAAAAAAATGCGACAAGTAGTTTTGACAGTCCTCTCTTGGTGTTAACCTAACACTATCCAAAGAATTCCCAAAACAGGTGAAAATCTGAGTGTGCAAGGTCGGGACGTATATACACAGTAATCTATGGTCGGGACTATAATGATGGATGCAATAACGTTTCCCAAGCTCAACATTTTTGCAAAATGACCAAACATGTATGTGGTCTAGAGTTATCATGATGAAAGACTTCTCCTTTTCTTTTGATCAATTCCGACCGGTTTTTTTTTCAATTTCTTGCTTGAGTCTCATTAGTTGTTGGCAGTAGAGATCCGAATTGATGGTTTTCCCAGCGCTAAAAGCAGCTAAAAGCTGATAATAAACGATACTCTTCCATTCCCGCAATATAAATGTTTTTTTTACTTATTATTTTTCCTAATGTCCTATAAGTATTGATAATAAAACTAGCCAGATACAAACAGTAAAGCAAAGAGATTTTCTTCTATTTTATACAAACAAAATACGAAGATACTTTTTATTATCATATTTTACATAAAAACTTTGCACCCTTTTTTTACGACCCGAATCCCTTTTTTACCCTTCTTTAAGACCCGAAGAGGAGATTTTTGAAGGAACAAAAAATGTCAATTTTATTATTTTTAATTTTAGAGTGTATGCAATAATTTTTAAATAAAAAAATGATATTTCTCGGGTCCGAATCCGAATTTATTTATTTCATATACAAAGTACCTTTAGTAGGTTTTAGTAAGTCAATCGCACCGTGTAATAAAAAGTTTCATACAAACTGTAATCCCGGTTGTACAAGCTCGTCTCGTCGCCTCGCGTGCCTCTCGTCGTGTTCAGGCTCGACACTAGAACACACCATGTACACACTCGTGTGCTCGTGTCATTTGAACTCCGTATGCCCGCTGAGATGGACTTCGATAAAACTTGCTGCGTTTTACCTTTGTGCTAATACTTATTATAACTTTTTCACATTTACTATAAAAATAAAATAAGCCACGGCGAAGAAGAAGATGGTGGATGGTTTCCATTTACCGCAACTGAACCTTGTACGGTGAATAGAATATAGTACGCTCTCGCTTTAATCGCGAGACTAACAAGACCCTTTGACTCGAGCGCAAAAAACCTTATTTTAAGTTGAATTTTACTAAATCCTGTCTCAGTAGATGCCTAAGTTACTATTGTCCAATTTTCAGCTGTTTACGTTTAGCGTTTGGGCTATGCGTTGATAGATGAGTCAGTAAGTCAGCCACCCTCTTTTATATATATAGGTATATTGATTAGGACGTACGAATAAATATTATCTCTTGCGTTACACATATACTACTTAGTAGTAGCTTAGTAGTAGTAGCTTTGCGTTATTATGCATTGCAGTGGGTGATAAAAAGCTAATATTGAAATAGTTTTGCACCCTAGTTTAGTTTAGTTCAAATAGAGCCCTAATTTAATTTTTGTTCCGGAGCCCTTGATTACATAGCTACCCCAATGCTCAAAACAATAATACAAAAGCTAACTGAAGAATGCCTTGTTGGTCTAATGATCGTAGGCAGAACTGTTGATCATGTGGTCCTGGGTTTGAATTAGTGGGGCTAAAATTATTTTTTTTAAATTCTTAATAGCAGTCAAAAAGTTGGCAGGGTTCACCTTATTCTTTGGAAAGGTAAAATTAATATAAGACATTTTTATTGTGTAACTTTTATTTGGAATCACCAAGATCTAAGTAATATAGTTATAAGTTATATAGATTGTGTTCTTCTTGCAAACTTTAGGAAACAATATTAATGCACACATTGAAATAATTTAGTACGATCATGTTACTCCACTGCTCACACTCACCATACGAAACAGCAGTATTAAGGTTGACTCACGCTAGACCGAGTCGGGTCCGAGCCGAGTGTCGGCCGTAGCACGGTCACCGAGCCGGTCTCGTGTCACAAACTCGAGCCTCGACCGAGCAATTAACGTTGCGCCGTGATGCAGTACACTCGTACGAGCAAAAATAGTGTTATAACTAGACTACAGTCGTGTTGAAGTTTGACGATCTGGAATTAGCGGCTAATGCGATCGTTCTGGACGATGAAGTATCTGATAATGTTCAACTACAAGCCGGGACAGAGTTGTTGCCTAAACTACTTGCTGCCTACTAAACGTTAACTGCCTACTAAACGTTAGTTTCTCTATCTGGTCTGTGAAGGTACTCTGTGAATCGGTTGCCGCTCGGTATGGCGTGAGTGTGTCCGTACAAAATGTATGTAATATTAGTAATGTGTAACTTAGGGCGGGGGTTAGTCTACTCCTAACTTTTTGATATTAACAGTAGGACTAGATTAACACTTATTCGGCTCTCCTGTCTGGCGAGCAATCTGGCGAATGGCTCCGGGGGAGAGCGCAGGTCGTGTTGATCCCCAGGGCAAGTCTGAGGAGTTCTTCCTTCACGTGGTTGCCTTATCTTTTATCCCACCCTCTTCTTATTTCCCTAACCTAACCCAATCCAAGGTGTCAAGCGTACCGTGCCGATGGATGCGTGGCTGGAGGGTGTCCAGTCACAAACGGTGCCTACCCGAGACCAGGGCGATTCGGGTAGTATTTTAGCCCTTCCCTCGGCATGCGGGGCTCTGCCGGGGGTGACCGAGTATTTCCCTAGCTAATCGTGGGAACAAAATGGACGAAAACCGACATTTTGAAAAAGATACTGAAAAATCTTTAAAATAACTAGCTGTAGGTTTGGAAGAGGCACTTTTAGCCTCACCAACACTCTGCAACATTGCGTCCCAACCTGGGACGAGTCGTGAAGTGGAGGGCACGTCGGAAACGAACCAGGGAGGGGACAAGAAAAAGTTCACTATGCCTTATAAGCTTAGTGGGGCAGCAAAGAAGAGGTTAATGGGACGAAATTAGTCTGCCCAAACCTCCCCCAGTTCCGAAGGCAAAAAAAGGAGCCAAGGAGTCTGTGAAGCTGGCAACGGGGGAGAAGAAGCTCAGATTCAGTGCCGTAGCTGGCTACGCGTGTGTGGTAATTCGCAGTTCGAATCCTATGAGTGCGGAGCAGATGCGGCTGGTCCACCGGCCACTAACACGGGCCATCGCCAAGACAGCCTGTGGGGCGCAGCCGGGAATGGGACCAAAATTTTCGGGTTTCACTCACAAGCCAGGTTGGATTCTGGTAACGTGCCTGAATAAGGCGAGCCAGGAATGGATTGTGGGTGAGATCGGAAAACTGAAACCCTGGCCAGAGGCAGAGCTCTCGATAATACCCAAGGGCGAATTGCTTAAGCCTCAGCTGGGCATTACATATTTGCCCCGCAGCGAAGTTGTCTCTCCAGAAGAGGCGGCTGGGCTGTTGAGGGCACAAAACGAAGGGCTCCATACCGAGCTCTGGAGAATCCTCCACCGACGAGGAGAATGGGTTTCTAGTAACCTTTTCTCTGGACGACCCATCGACGGAGGCTCTTCGGAAAGCAGACGGCAGAGTCGTCCTTGGCTTTAAAATGATAACTTTTAACCCATTAACGCCCAAAATTAAACAACACTTGAAAATTATAACCACTCGTTATTTATTGCATGAATATGGACTAAATAAGAGGTACAAAAGTAATTATTAGTTTTTTTTTTTTTGGGAACTGTCGGGGTGTACTTGTCCGGGTACAATGGGCGAATCAGGCATGAAATTGTCCAAAGCATGGTCGTTCCACACATAGTGTTTTGGCACATATCTCACAGCGCCAACGAACGCGGTTGTGGCAAATAACACATCGTAATGGGTTTTCGATGTGTTGAGGGTTATGTCCGTTATTTTTCTGCACAAGGCCAGATATTGTTGATGACGTAGGACGACTTTTCGCCTTAGTTTGGCGAAGGTATGCTCTAACAATCGTACGCCGGAATAGCAATTGATCCATGTAGGACGTGTCAGTAGTTTTGCTGATCAAGACATGCAGACGCCAAGCATTTGAAATCGCCATATCTAAATGGTAGGTAAAGATTACCCACCACCATTTTTTTCCTTTTATGGCTACTCGATAGAGACTAATCGATTGATCCATCTGATCTACTCCACCCATGCCTCTGTTATAATTGACAAACAATCTTGGAATATATACATCCACTTTTTGTTTCTGTATACTACACCACCTTTTCACCTTCCCCAGTGGTTCTACAGCGTCAAAATTTGATCCCATCGTGACCACATTGTTGTCTTTCCACCGCACGATTGTTATTTCATTTTTGATATCGAAACGATAGTCGTAATCCGCCCTTGTTTTTTTTTCATTGTTTTTACATCAGCCACAGGACAACTTTTTGTTCTATTTTCTCGTAGTTCTGGTCGCAAGTCGTGGAGTAACTGATAATTGGTAAAAAATTATCAAAGTATACGACATGTTCTTTTGGGACTATCGTCATCTTTGCTAATAGGGATTTTACCACTCTCGAGCCCAGTGGATCTATCGACACTTCTGTAGATTTTCCGCAATATATGTCGAAAGTGTAGCAGTAGCCATCTAAACTTGTTGCTGCCCAATTCCGGTAGCCAAATCGTACAGGTTTTCCCATTATGTATTGCTTGGCGGGATGTCGACCAAAGTATTTTATCATAGATTCATCTATAGATAAGTTTTCGTGAAATACTCCCCACTGGCAAGAGTTTTTTTGTATAAGATCGCACAGCGGTCTCATTTTGAACATTTTATCATTTGAACCTTCCGCTAGGGAATTGTCGACGAAATGTAAGTTTCGTTTAATGTCCGAAAAACCTATTGCGTGATATGCAATTGGCGATCAATGGAACGCCGAGATCTTCATCCAAACTCCAATAGGCACGTTCGGAAGGCAGTTCATGATATCCAGTAAAACATAAAATGGCCAGAAAAGTTCTCAATTCGGGCTTATCAATTTCAAAACTGTGTCTGTTATGTTGCCCAGCATACTTCATGCTATATTTCACAATCAAACTCATAACATTATCATCAAATATCTTCTCAAATAACATCACAGGGCTGCAGTCTTTCAAAGATTCAACGAGGACTTCTTGTCGTCGCTGAATGATACCAGTTACGTCATGGGTCATGCTGTATAAGGGTAAAGTTTTTCTCCATACAGGCTCGTTAGAATCTCGCCTTCTAGCTCGCTTTGCAGGTCGTGAGTGAGTGGACAATGGCTCGTTATCACTGTCATCCCATTCCGAAACATCATGATTAGGATGCAGTGGGGCTATCTCAACTGTACCCGGTACGTCTCTCGGGAAAGTTGTAGAAGACAAGTCATCTTCATTACCTTCTTCTTCATCACTAACAATAGCTGGATCTGGTGGCAATAAAAAGACGTCGTACTGCGCATCATCATTTTCATCAGCTACTATAGATTCAAGGGTTTCTTCAAGTCTCGCATAGTTATTTTGACTCGTAAAGACGTGACGGTCAGTCATTGTAGGGTCTTTGTAAACACCTGCAAAATACAAAAATTATGTACACAAGCGCCCATTGTACACCAACAGGTACAGCACATAAAAATCATGTGTAGTGCACTTTTATTCAAACGAATTGTTATTCCAACCATATAATATGACAGTATAAAGCCTTAACAATCATGAATATGGAATTATTTACAATAAAAATACAAACGTATAAAGTAGTTGTACACACGCGGGTACATAGGGCGGTAATGGGTTAAAGTCAGGGGAGGCTCTGACGCGCCAATGGAGCCTAAACCGCCCCAACTCCAATCCCCCCCAGTCCTCCACCTCTCGGGGTGAGACTGGAACGCCATCAGTGAGAGTGACGTAGACCCAAGGCGTTGATCTCGCCTCGGCCCGATGGCCTCCGCTGGTGTCGTCCTGGAGTGTGGGGAGGGGAGGTAGGAGCGGTACAGCGAAAGGTAAGGCGTGAGTCAAGAGCGCCGGTAAAGGACGTCTTCGTCCTCAACAGGCGGAAAAGACCCCTGCCTCCCCACGCCAATAAATGGCTTACCCCAAGAGTAAGACGTGGGTCCTCCAGCCAAATCGTCACCATGTAGTAGTTACTTCTGCCTTGGTGGAGGTTCGCTTTGCAGAGGACAACATTGACCTCGCCCTCATACAAGAGCCTTGGGTGGCCAACGGTCAAGTTCTGGGATTGTCGGCTGCCGGTAAGATTCTTGTCAATACTAAAAGCAGTAGACCCAGAGCTTGTATAATTTACAATAAAAATATTGAACTTTTAGTTGTTCCAGAGTACTGCAATGATGACCTGGTTACAGCCTTCATAAATCTTAAGGGAGGCACAGGGGTGAGAGTAGTAATCTATCTTCCCGGAGAGTACTCAGTTCCTACCATCGAGTTAGAGTGAGTGGCGGAGTTCGCCCGGAAACACAACGCCGAACTTGTGGTGGGTTGTGATGCTAATGCTCACCACCCAGCCTGGGTAAGCGCTAACATAAACAAAAGATGTGAGCTACTTTATGATTATCTCATCTCCAACCGCCAGGTAAGCCTAAACTTAGGGTGCACACCAACATTTGTTACGCGTACTAGGCAAGAAGTGTTAGGCATAACCTATGCTACTAATAACATATCCAGGCGGATAAATGACTGGCATGTTAGTAGTAAAAACTCGATATATGATCACAGACACATGAAGTTTGTGATTGGAGCATCACCAACCTATGAAACCGTTGCTTTTAGGGATCCAAAAGCGACCTCCTGGGATATCTACAGAGATAGCCTAAGAGGAAATTTGGAAACGTTTCCTAAAAGCATCAAAACGATTGAAGGTCTGGAGTTAGCGACGGAGACAGTAACCGTAGGTATTCGTGAAGCCTTCGAGGACAGTTGTCCCGTCAAAACCAAAACCTCAACACGTAAAGTTCCTTGGTGGAATACTAAGCTAACAGAACTTAGGGAAAAGACCAGGAAACTATTTAATAGGGCTAAGAAAACCAAAGAATGGGATATTAATAGTGCAGCTCTAACTGAATATAATAAAGAAATTAGGAAAGCCAAGAGAGCAACGTGGAGGAAGCTATGCGAGGAAGTTGAATCTTTGCCTCGCAGTGCAAGACTACACAAAATGCTATCGAAAGCTAAACCTAATCAGATCGGGCTTCTTAAAAAGCCTGTTGGTAACTTCACTAATAGTGAAACAGAAACATTGGAGTTACTAGCGTCAACCCATCTCCCAGGTTGACACAAGACTTCAGCCTTAAATTCTTTCAGAGCCCTACGAAGACCTTGTAATGAGGACTGGTGTAGAGCTGCAAACATAATATGGCCAAACCTGGTGCAGTGGACTGTTGACTCGTTTAATCCATTTAAAACAAGCGGGGAGGATGGAATAATTCCCATCCTACTGCAGAGGGGTATCGACATCCTTCTTCCCTATCTGGTGAAAGGTGAAGGTCTTCAGAGCAAGTTTTGCCTGGGGATATATTCCAAAACGATGGATAATTCAAAGTTCTATTTATACCTAAGGCTGGTAGAAAGGACTACGCTTTACCAAAGTCCTTTAGACCTATAAGCCTATCTTAATTTCTCCTTAAGATATTAGAAAAGGTTATAGATAGATATATAAGGGAGAGATACATGTAGCTCTAGCTACAAGGCCCATACATTACAACCAGCATGCTTACCGCAGAGGCAAATCTACGGAAACAGCCCTGATCAGTGTCATTGGCAGGGTCGAAAAACACTGGAGGATAAAGAAATAGCTCTTTGTGCCTTTCCAAATATTGAAGGCACCCTCGACAGTAGCCCCACATCACTGCTGTTTGGGGGCCTGACATCTAAAATGTTGACCCCACAACTATCAGATGGTTGAAGTCGATGCTCACAGACAGAAAGGCAAATATAGCGCTGTTTCAAACTTCGATTGAGGTTGCGACTACAAGAGGCTGCCCACAAGGAGGTGTTTTGTAACTTTTGGCACTTTAAATTATACTAAATTCTGTATTTAAAAATTGTAAATATAGCAACAATGAAACTCAGCATATAATGTGGGTAGCCTATTTGTTTCGTTTTTTTTTCTTTTCTTTCTTTTAAAATAATTTAAAAATCCTTATAGGAGTTGTGTGGGGCTTTTGCCAAAGTACTTTATCGTCAATAACACAAGAGCCCTAAACACCATAAATAACTGGTATATGGATAACGGTTTATCAGTTAATGCTGATAAAACTATTATAATACCCTTTACCGAAAAGAGACGGTTGGACAAATTAATCCCACCAAAACTGGTACTTCTTTACCATTTTCCACTGAAGTACTTGGGCGTGACAATCGATCAAAAACTAACGTGGAATTCTCACCTTAGCAACGTATGCCATAAGGCAAAAATTGCTTTAGGTACGTGCAGTCGGGAACAACTGGGGCTTGCGTCCCAGTATGATCGTATGGCTGTACAGCAGAATAGCGAGGCCGATTCTCACCTACACCTCTATTGTCTGGTGTAACAAAGCCAACCAAAAGACGACTGCGGACAGACTAAACAGTCTACAAAGGACTGCCCACTTAATGGCAACTGGAATTATGCGATCAACGCCCGGAGTGGCTCTTAATGCACTTCTATGCCTAATGCCCCTTGATCTATATCTAGACAAGGCTAGTTTGTATAGGATAAATGCCCAGGGCGGTCTGAGCTTGCTCTCCTACAGATTGAGATCCATGCTCGACTCAATTAAGGAAACACCGGTCTTATGCATGATCTCAGATAACATGCGTCCACTACACACTTTTGATAAAAAGTATATAGTAGAATTACCCTCCATAGAAAACTGGCTGAATGGCCAGGTTATCTGTGAGGTCGGTAGCCTCATATGGTATACCGATGGGTCTAAAATGCGCATTGACGTAGGCTTTGGAATTTAAGGAGAACGCCCCAAATTCAAACATAGTATGAATTTGGGTAGATTCATCCCTATCTTCCAGGCAGAAATTTTCGCCATAATTCAGTGTGCGGAAATCAATCTGCAAAAACACTACGTCAACCATATAATTTATATAAACTCTGATAATCAAACAGCACTGCTAGCGCTGAAGTCAAACTTAGTGAACTCGAAGCTAGTTGGAGACTGCGTGAACCGTTTAAACGCCCTGGGATGTACTCGTAGCAACAGGGTCGCCTTACGATGGGTTCCGGGTCACGCGGGTAGTAGGCAACTCAAAGTGCACACAATTTGGTCTTGAGCCATTTTGTGAAATCTCAAGAAGCCTAGCTCGATTAGCCCTTGAAACTCTTTATCACAATAAATCACTTAAAATCTGGTCTGACACACCAGGCTTAAAACATTCTAAAAACTTTATCCGGGCTTTTGATCGTAAATTCGCTTCAGAAACCCTGGGATTAAGTAAAAATAAATAGCGCATTCTGGCAAGAGCCCTAACTGGACACTGTTGTCTTAAAAATCAGGTGTCCATCCTGGGTCTAAGCAACTCAAGGATGTGTCGGTTCTGTTCCATAACGGAAGAAACGCCTCTACATATCCTAACTGATTGCGGACCCTTAATGCGCAAACGTAACACTCATCTGGGAAACTATGTACTCCACCAGAAGAAGTGAAATTGCTCACGGCTCAGCAACTCCTTCTATTCATTGAAGACATAGGGTTTAGCAGTGAACTATAGCCACAGCAGCGATTACAATAGATCTTTTAGGTCGCAGTGATACTGGTCTCTTTCCCTAGACCTGCATAGCTGCTCGCACATAATTTAAAAAAAACGTGTTACTTGGCAATGTGTGGTTTGTCACTGCTCAGGGTTGCCTGAAAGTCACTAACAACGCCCTCGTTTACTGTATAAATTTTTTTTCTGGTTATATTTTCCTAAAATAGAAAAAAAATTGTCTAGCGTAAGTAAATGAGGCCGACGCCTTTCGTCACGGGGGCCCTCGTGACGATACGGGCACGGGCCCCGTGTGCCCTTATGGTAAAGACGGTATTGGCTACATTGACTTATATATTACTAGCGTAAGGACCGGGCCGACCGAACAACTAAAACGGACCAGTGTGCTGGCCCTAAAATTACAGTTTAGGGCCAATGCGAATCGGTCGACAATGGTGCGCGAGCAGGACAGATTGCCTGTCACAAATATGTCTAGTTTCGTGGTAAAAGAATGCAAAAATTACGATACAAAGATTTAAAAAAAAACATGGGATATCGTATCATCGGTAAATAACTTTATATTAATTTCGTTACAATTAAATTATTATATAAACGCATTTTTAAAGTTTTAGTTTAGAGTTAGTTTAGTTACGTTACCAAGATTAGGCCAGGGTTGGATTCAGACCCTCAAAAATATTGTACATGGTAAATAAAATTATACTATTTAAAAAATTATATAACGTTTGACGTTTCATGTTTCTTTTTTCCCATGATTCGTCATTTTGGCGTCACGCGTCTAATTTATCTAGGTATACGTTTCGTTTTTTGACGGTTTTATTTTTATTTCTGTTTCATTTTTG